TTTGTTTTTACTTACTGTTTTATGTGAAGCTTGCTTTTACTTCTCAAGCAAAGTCATTAAAAAACATCATGCTGCCTGGGAATGTAAGAATACAGGCTCATTTCCAGTTAAGGAATATAAAATTTGAATTTGCACTACAAGCAATGACAGTGAACAGAGGACTGGAAAAGCAAGCACCAAGCACGGAAGATAAGCAGGCCTTCAATATAAATGCATGATCATTTTGGAAATGACATCAGACAGTGCTTTCTTCATGGGTGAAACTAGTTTCTTCCACCCACTTCTCTACAAACATGAAAATTATAAGTAAGAAGACTAATTGTTATGCTGAGATTTTAAGAAAAGTATCTTCTTAGGATCCTAGCATTCCTAAATTAGCATCTTAAATTTGTCCCTATTTCAGAGACTTCTGAATCAGAGAAGACTTACTAGACAGAACTTAGATACCTCTATTTCCAAAGTATCCAAAAAAAGTTCCCCAAGAGTGATCTCAGGTACATGCTGGAAGAAGTGTTAAAATTCAGGATGATGATGACAGTAAAGGCAAACAGAGCTTGGGGAAAGCAACTGGAGAAGGAGGACGAAAAGAGCCATGTGCCCCTTCTGCTAGAACTGTTTCACACATGCTAGCTTCTAGGGAGAAAGCACTAATCCCATATAGAGAGGCCACCTCAGCAGCTCCCCCCTTCATCAGAACAATTCATGTCAGAAGTTCCTCTAAGGACAGTTTTTGCCAACCAGCTGTTCTCTTCTCATTGTAGGAAATCACCTCCCTTGCTCTTTGGCTTCCTGGACCTCCACATGAGATATGAATAGCCTTGTGCTAATGATACCCTAGCAGCGACACGGTAAGAGAGGTGGTAAATCTACTCAGAGAAATCACTGCACATGAGGTAACTTGGTCTGTTAATCACCTTCTCAAGCAGTACAGCCTTAAGAACATTCTCTGTGTAAGAGCCAAATTTGAGTACACAAGTTATAAAATTTTCATTTTTACCAGAGAGCACATTTTTTCCAGGCATCTTAGTATCTGTTGAACACCCATGTAACAGAATAACAGCAGATTACATGCCTTTTTTTCTTAAAGAACTTTTACATAATGGATCTACTGTTATAACCAATGAGAGTTATGCAATGATAGGCACAGGTGGTCAACTGCACACCACCACTGAATTTTGGAAAGTGCCGGCACACACAGCAGAATATCTCACCTGCACTTCATAATGTGCCTCTTTGCTTTCCTGGTTTAGCTACTGCTCTCTTCCAGAAAAACATGCAGGAGTATATCAGATATATCCTTTCCATTACATGTTCAGTTGGACAACATTTTCTGACTTCTGAAAAAATTTGTCGAAGAGGAGAAAATGCCAATATTTCCCCTTAAATCCTACGAAAAACTTCTGCTTGTTCTTATGGCTTGTCAAGCTATCACTTAGCTCAATTCTAGTAAAGAGCAACTCTGCTTATAAAAATGCTGTATACAAAGGTCACTTAATGCAAATTAGTTCCATACATTCAAATTTATCTATATTGCTGCAGTGGCAAAAGGATAAACTTCTGTAACTATGAAGAATCAGCACGAGTGCTCTGACCTAGGGTACACATCACGCTTCATAATGCATGCTACATTCCAATCATTTACATTTGAGCAGAGCCATCAGACCGTGGAAATCAACCATAAACAATGAGGCACGAAGTTGCCATTTCAGGTCCTAGTTCCTTGATACTTATGATGCTAAAGGAGACCGAACAACTCTGTGGTTTCATTATCCCAGGTTGCTTCTGTGAGACTGACAGTAAGCTGAGCACATTCTGTGTATGTAGAAGATAACAAAAGACCGAGAACAGGGGATTTTTTTAATATGCATGTCCAATATTCCTGGAAAAAAGTAGCCTTAGCTTTATATTACGCAGGCGAAACAGAAACTATTGGCTTCGTTTCTGGAAAATTATATAATGACAGTGAAGCAAATTTACCTTACGGAGAATCAGGAAGTTTTGCTACAAAAGGGCCGAAGTTTGATAAATCTTGAGTTTATTTTTCTTTCCAAAAAATACAATTTTGGCAGCATTTGAAATATAGGTAAATAATAACATTAAACCTCAACAAACCTGAACTTGCTGGACTCATTTAGCAACAGTATGTATCAGACAATGTTTAGATCACAGAGCTGAAATGCTGATTGTCTTTATTATTTAAAAATAACTTTTATCCAGGAGTTGTGGAACTAATCTTGGCTTGATGTTAAACTGCGAACACAGGCACGGAGGATGAACTAGGAAAATGTTTATTGTCTGTTTTCCTGTACAAGCACAAGCAAGAGCTGCTCTGCTTCACCTTTTTCAAAAGGCCCATGCTCTTGTCCACCTCTCTTGCACACATCTCTGGGCAGCTTCAGCAATCACCGAAATTAATGCTCTCAAGAATAGCTATGGAGCAATTAATATAACAAGAATGCTTTAACCGTGCATATCTATGCCGTCAAGTGTTTGAGTTTCTTTTGAATTAACCTCAAGTCTGCACTATCACACTTCAATGATTGTTCTGCTGTTAAATAAATTTTGATCTGTACCTTATACTAAGTTAAGCTTAATTTCATTATTAATTCATTATTTTAAATAGAGCTCATTTCAGACACAATTTGCTTAGTTTATACAGGAAGGTTAGATGCTGAACAGTAACCCCAGCACAGTACACAGTAGGAACATCGCTGTCTTTTAGTGATCACGGTTCATTGCTTCTACAGGACTTGAATGTCTTCCACACTGTGCGCTCAGCACTGTGTGCTCAGCACTGTGAGTGGGTATACCCAGCCTCTTTGTTTCCCTATTCTATGCATCATAGGCGTCTCTTTGGGGAGCCTGCAGAGAAACTACTCACTCACCTGCTGCCCTCTCCTCTGCCTTTTGCATTGGCTAGCCAAAACTGTTAGTAAGTACTTATGGAGGAAGCAAATCCCCACACTACAATTCCGACAATCAAAAACCATTTGTACAGAAAGATTTTCTGACACAACTTGCACTAAGCACAACCTCACCAAACAGATTTGGCTTTGTTCGTTTGAAGTCTGACTAATTGTTCCCAAGCAGATTTCCTCAAAATGACTGTATTGTTTATTCTTGCTAATTCTATACTCACGAAGAAAGAAATGAAAAGGAAGAAGACGATTGTGCTTTGAACGGGGATGGACTAGATGACCTACGTTCTTCAATGAGTCAATGCAATAGCATCCACATAGTGTGAATGAATTAAGAGTTTGGAGATCCCAGTAATGGATTTCTACTTCCCCAGCAAGCCCAACCCAACAATCCCAAACCTAAAAACTTGTCCATATGAGCCAAGCGCAATAGCCCCTCTGCTACAGGTAGGGTGCAGTGAGAGGCGCTAATGCAGAAGATCTGTACTTTCCAGCATCTGCCTCTCATAGTCCATCCATATCTGCAATTACTGTGGTGTGTTTGTTTCACAAAGTTTGGCAAAGAGGACAAAAGAGAGTGTCCAGGCATACTGCAGCTCAGCAACCCACAGAATTATGATTTGAGCACATAAAAGGAGGTTGGACTTGAAAATGCTATTAGCCCACATCTGTTCCAGGGTAGCGGCCAGCTAAGTAAGTGCAATGGGATGTACTTCAAAGTATATTATACAACTGACGTAGAATAAAGGGTCTTTACAGCACTTTTTATAAGAGTCTGCAGTGGTGGTAGCAGCCTGACAGCGTTAAGGCTCAGAACGGTGAAAGAACATACTGGGAATTCATGCCTGTTGCAGAGGCAGCACAGTTGGTATCCTGTGTCAGAACAGAAATGTCTCAAGTTTCAGGTGCATCTGACAGAATCAGGTTCAGTCTGAGAGTTTTTATTTCATGTATACTAATAGTATCTGAACAGATGCTGATGGCCACTGCCAAAATTTAGTCCAGCTTCTGGCAGCACACAGAACAGAATGGTAGACTTAGGTTTTGTTCCTTGTTTTCTTCTGTATCATTTCTGTGTTTTAGTGTAGCACCGATCACATGGCTTTTTGTTCCTTCTCATATATCCATTTAACAGAGACTAAAAAGACATTCATATTTCGGCATCTGAACTCTAAGGCTCCCTGAGTTTCTGTCTCTCCCACTACTGGGAGTGAGGGTGAGCAGAATTCAGGTGCCTGCACCACTTCAGCTAGATACCCAGCAAGGCATAGTATCGGATGAAAAAAAAATCCGAACTCTAGAGGACGCAGACACAAAGCTTGTGTGCCAGCATTTAAACAGAGAGGTGAGAACCTGTCAGCAAGACCCTGGAACAGAAATCAGGCACGCAGTAAAGGGGCACAAAGGTAAATCTGTAGACCTGGCGGTTGACAGAAAGTGCAGAAAGCAGTCTGGTAGAGCAGCTGGAGGATAGCAAAAATAATACACAGCATAGCTACAGTCACACAAAGAGCAGAAGGCAGTAAACTTATGTGAAGGTAATACAATAAAAACAATAAGCAATATTATTGTTTTATCTAACAGAAGGAAAAACTATACAGTAATTTTTGTCCTTTATTCCATACAAAGGAATTACATAATACAGTTAGGAGGTTTTCCATTGTGCACCTACAAAGGTTAATACTGTGTAAACCCTCATAATCCCGAAATGAAATCTCAGGCAGATCTCAATCAGTTGTAGTCACAAAGATGCTGTCATCTTGTATGTTATTGTCTTTAAAAAAAAAGTTTTGCAGGCCAGATCATACACCCTTTCAGACATGTATAGATCCAACTAATGTACTCTCTCTGTTCAACACTGCAGTACTTCAAAGACTTCTATGGATTCTCAAGATAACTTTAAAGAATTCACTGGCAGTGATTAACTTCTAATGTACAGAACAGGATGTTACAGCAACAAAAGCTTGTTTCTTGTAGATATTTATTACACTACCAAATTCATTTAACTGAAAATTTTTCCATGCAGAGGATTTTTTTCTGTACTTTTAAATACAGAATATGCATTTGGACTAGAAATTGTACGTGATTCCACTCCACAGTTTGGTAACTGAAGAGATATGAAAATAAGCATATTTATTAAAAAACATAACAAAAAACCTATGTTCTCAGAATGTATGATTTATCAGTGGGCCTCACTGTCACAAAGTACAATGAGACCAGGCACATAAGAGTTTAAAATAAAAACAAAAATCAAAACCCACAAATACGTACCTTGTACACTGCACAATTCCAGGACAATGTATGGTTTTATTTTACTAATACAAATCAGGAAATTGCCTTGATAGGTGAATTATTAGACACTTGTTTGTTAGAAGGCTTCTTAAGACTTCCTTGGAGACAAGTCTTGACAGAGCACGTACTAAATAGGTGCCTCATAGTCCAAGTGTTTCTCTATTCTTCCCTTAAATGCAATCTGCTTTTCTGCTTTTATTAATTTTATTGAAAATAAAACTAATATATACTTCTAAAATTAGATACTTACAGTGAAAATACCCATTAGCTGAGTGTAAAAGAGTCCACTTATTCCACCTAATATTATTAGACCCATGAAGGCAGATATTCTTAGGAGAGCAAGTTCATGCCTAAATACAAAAACATCCTAGAACAAGACAGAAAGAAGAGAGAGACTTTAGCACTTACAAATTAATTTAAGTCTTTGAACCGAGTGGAAATACTAGATAAGAGCTGTTTCCAAAGACTTAAGCTAAAGGCAAATACTGGATTTTTGAGATACATTGCAAATCATTGATACATTTATATGCTAAAATTATAAACCAATAATCTTTTACTTATACATGTAAACAATTGGGGGTTTTTTGCCAGACTGTTAAAAAAAACTCATTCAGGTATTTACGGTTTGGGAATAGATCGAGCTCAAATGGGTTATTCCTGAATCTTCCATCTCAAACTGTGCCAGATTGCTACACACAAGCTCCAAAACGTAAGAAAATCATTCTGTTAAACAGTCTGATTTATAAGACTCCTATATCTTGGCTCCCAGCCACAGCAAATTTCATTTTAACATCACCTCTTTTGTAATAAAAATAACAACATTCCTAGCCTGACTCTTGAAGATGGTACCTACAAAATCCAAGTATCTGTATTGGATTGGTCTCACTGTAATGCTGTCTATTATGCAACATAAACTTATCTTCAACTTTTAAATTTTGGCCTTAAATGGATTATTATAACTGTGCATATGGGTGCACAACCAAGTTGCCTCAGGGTACAGGAGAACATGAATTTACTGTATCAGCTGCTCTGGAAAGTCTGCTCTCACCCAGCAGAAAATACCAAAAGTGTAAGACAGTTTTATAGATCTTTTTCAAAGGATAAAACACCTTATTTTTATCACAGGAAAACATTTGTACATGGCGATTACTGTAGATGTACTGCAAGTTCACACCCCATCTTACCCTTTGATAATGAGTTAACACACCCATTCTCTTATTTATAAGTTACGATTGTGTTCTCAAAGCTGTTTTTTGAATGTACACATCTGTTTTTCCACTTAGAAAAGCCAGATCACAGTAGGAAACTATTAAAACCTCTCAAGTAAACTTTAAATTACAACCAGAACATAAAAGTGAACTGAATGAGAAAAAAAAAAACAACCACCGCTTTTGAACTTTCCTTCTTTATGTTCACCAGTAGGACTTAAGGAAGAGGAATTCTTAGGTTCAGGAATACTGGGTTTTAATTAAACAGAGAATAGTTAAAGCAAATTAGATTTAGTAAAAAAGTCTGATTTTAAATTTAAATTACTTCCATGAAGGTTCAAAATATAAACCCAGGAAAAAAGTTTATACCAGCTACTAAAGCTGTGAAGAAAGTCAATATTTAATGAACAAGAAGAAATCACTAGTTAACCAGCTAAAACAAAAAGCAAACCTCACCAGTCTTTTCTGAACTGGTAAGCAATTTCCTGTTAGTATTGGCCTTTCTTGCTGCTGTAGAAAATATATGCTTAATTTCTTTTTTTTTTAAACTCTTCTTACTCAGTTAACAAGTTAATTCAAAGTTAAATCAACTCAAAATAAAAGCATTCATACCAGTCTTTATTCCCCTTTCCACCAGCCCACCAAAGCTTTAAAGAAAAGCAAGGTAAGACACAAGTTCTACTAGCTGTAAAATACTTTCTCTTTGTATCTTCATAGGTGTGTTGTTTTATTATATCAGAAATGTTTTAATGTATTCAAACTCAACTTGACAGAAAACAGTGAAATGTGAGAGAAGAGTGCCAACAGTGAAGCTGCATTCTGGATCTAGCATCACACTCCTTCATTAGAAAAAAAGTTTGTAATACAGCTCTTGGCATCCCCCCAACACTCTAATTAGAAGAGTTCCTTCTCTTGAGCATCATCTTCAGCGGGAAAAAGAGACATCACCCAACGCTTGACAACAGAAAATCCTAGCATAAAGAAGGCACACTGCATTTTGCTTTTGGCCCTTCTAACCCATGTTAAAACTAGAGGTACAGAAAAGGAAAGACCTTTCATACTGAAGTGAAGACCAAGGAATACTACTCTGCCTTTCCTTCCTTCCTTCCTTCCTTCCTTCCTTCCTTCTTCCCTAAAAGGTTAAAGTATCTACCACAAAAGACTGGGGGTTGCTGAATTACTAGTGAGAAGAGGTGACATCACCAATGTTTTTTCCAGCCATTACACAACCCTAGGGGAATCAAAGTCTCTGAGGCAATGATGACCTGGAAATCAATACTGGGCCCTCACCTCGCAAACCGTACAGACAGAACAGCATTTTTCTATAGAAAACCAAAGTATATGCAGGAATAGTCTTTTGGTAATCAGACCTCAATAACAGAGCTACTTTCACAATTCTGCGTTGTAATAGAAACATGTGACTCCATGAAAATAGAAGAAAGACCATTTTAAAAAATCTATTTAAATCACAGTAGTAGTAATAGTAGTGGTAATAATAATACATTTAGGATGTTGCTGCTTTACATAAAAGCTCAACCCAATTTGTTTTTATTATTTCTTCTCAGAACTGACAAAAACATTTTTCCCAGCTAAGAAAACCAATCAAAACTATAATAAATAAACCCCCAAGACTTAGCCAATAATTAATCAATTCCTCTTTCAATGTATTTTGAAGAGATATGTTCAAACACCATTCGGGACTCACCAATCTCAGTGCAGTGTGAGTACTGAGACAGCCTGCCCCCCCAACCTCCAAAATCACACTATCTGTGCTAAGAGAAAGAACTACACAGACTGAGCCACAAAGCATAAGCACACGTAAGCTAACATCACCAATGCAGGAACTCTCTCTCACGGCACAACAGGGTTTTGTCCCATAGCAGCTTTTTTCCATGCTGGGCCAGGCTGACATATGTGGCCTTGGCACAGATGTTAAATGTACAGTTTTAACAATGTGAGAGCTGCCCTTCAGATATCCACTTTCTCCTCTCCTTTTTGTCAACATCACAGCCTAACTGCTCTGTCAAAACTTCAGTTCACATGGGTTGCTGCCGTTACCTTTCTACTTAGTATTTCCTACACAGCTCAGATGTGCCCTGCCCCCAGGCTGTTGCCTGTTCTAAAGGTTTTTAAGTTCCCTTTAGCCACTACTTCTATCCATCCAGTCAAACTGCAAGGATTCTTGGCTACTTATAAAAATGGATAGAAATGTGTACAATAGAAACTTGTCACAAAATAAGAAACAAAGTGTAGGTCTGTAGCATTATGTTGAGGAATGGATTACAAATGATGAGATCTGGCATCTTTATCTTAACAGACAATACCAAAACATTCCACAGAAAGCGTCTCCGTGTCAGATTCACACGAGACTTCCTCAACCCCATGGCAGAACACATGCCATGTCTTCGTTTGTGAGCATCAACTGTTAAGGATGAACCCTACAAAACATGCTACCATTGTCTAGGAAAACAGCTATTATAGCTTTATGCTATCATACAGGAGAGAGATCAAAAACAATGATGGGTCAGCTCAAGATCATGATCAATTATGTGGCTACTGCTTCCAAATTCAACTTTCTTTTTACCCTGATAACAACGAAAAAAAAAGCATAAAAACATTTAACGGGTCCCTGCCATTTGCAGTATGGGGTTATTATTTCCAAGGGTTTACAGTATTCCTTTAAAACCAGCACACTCTACAGAACACGGAGCTTTCAGCAGGACCAATGCAGGACTATTGTATCTCTTCCAGAAGAGACCAAGTGAAAAACAATCTTCATAAATTTTCATTTACAATGTAAGATTCATTTATTCAATCTTGTTTCTCTACTGAAATATGATATACACAGAAATTAATATACTAACAAAATATATTAAGAGACTTCATCTTTATCTTGGGGAAGGGATACTTCATGTAACGCATGCTAACTTGCTTGTCTATTCTCAGTTGCAAATGCCCAGGATGTCTATCCCAGTCAGTCTATCAACTTGGCTATCATAAAAACACTGTAGAATACAGAACAAAGCCAGGCTGTCAGATTCAAAAAAGCGAAGCAAAAAATACAGACTGCAGGTTTTGCAGGAAGAAAGAGGAAGGAGAGGTACAACGGAGAAAATTCACTCATGTTAAGAAAAAAAAGAGAAAATTAATTCACAGAACACAAGCTGCATTCTAATAAGCCCTTTTGTGGAGATGATATTTATGTAAAGCGCTTTTTTTATTCAGGACTATTTCAGGTCTACTAAATGAGTAATTTTCCACTCTGATTCATGACTGATTTAGTTTAAAGTGAAAATGGGAATAGCACTCCGATTCCAAAAACGATTGTTTACACAGAGTTCAATCCAAAGTGATAATTCTGAAATAATTTCAGACTAGAACAGATTTTAAGAAAAGGCCATACAATCTTCGCATAAAAATGACACTATCGATATACTAAGTTTTTACAAAATGTTATCCTCTCGGTCATTCCTATCTTTTCTCTACAGACCACATATTTACTTTCCAAACTTAATTCAATATTCATGTACTGTCCTTATAATTATACAGGAGGAGTATAGGTTGGTTTTGCAGAACACTGAGAAGGAAAATGTTGACGTATTTTCATTTTTTTAAAAAACTCTCACATCCTGCAGGTCATTTCATGACCCTAAGAGAAAAGATTTCCTTTAGATTCTCTTTACAATATAAATGGACTTTGGATGATACATATTTTCAGATTTTAATTAATAGTAGTTAATACATAATATTAAAATAAATATTACCATAAACAATCTTCTCACAAAGTTTAATGACTATTTCCCAACACCTTTTATTTGGAATTGAGAAAGCTGAGTCCCAGACAGAGCAGGCTGATATTGCCACAATGCTTCCTCCGTGATGTTTCCTCCCCGCTCTACCAATAGACCTCAGAACACTTTAAAAATTAGTTAAGTAACAATATTTTCATAACGGGCAATGGATAACTGCAGAACCAGGAACAAAATAAAACTAAACCTGAGCAAAGGGGTTTGGGTTTTTATATGTCAGTGGTTTTTGCTATGACAATAATTCCAGCAACATTTCTAGCAAACAGAATGTATCAGCAAAACTTCTGCTGAAAAGATTAAAAGCCTTCTATGAATCAGGTAAAATATACGGCCAAAGCATTTATTTTTACTTCTACTTGACCAGCTGTGTCTAGAATCTGTGCCAGCACAGCCATATAGAGAGCAACCATGTAGTCATGAGAAGACTAGTATTTATTCTTCTCATCCCACTATCCACAAGATTGAATACTTCCTAAAAGATACAGACTTCCTGACCTTGATTTTTTTAATGAAGATGCAAAATTAAGAATGTTCCAGGCTTAGCCTCTGAAAATCACCAAACTAGCAGAGGAACTCGTATGCTGTTTTATTGGAAATATATTATTTTTCTTCTGCTAGGATCTCACATAGACAAAATTACCACTTCCTTAATTTCTAGCAGCAATGGTACTCCTCCTGCTGGACAAACAGAAGCAATAACCACACACAATCCATCTCTGGCGGTGTATCAATCACAAGAGCCAAGAATACTATGAAGCAATGTTCTGCCATAAGACCTGAAGCTGAAAGATTGTATCTCTATTGAAATGGCTTCCTCCATTAGCTTTAAAGCTATCACCCTTACCTTATAATTAATTAAAAATGTTTTTCTTACTCAACCCTTTAAAAATAAAACCCACAAATTTTCATTCAGAAGGACATACTAACATGCATACAGTGATCATATTTTCATAATGCACTAATCAGTACTGTGATAAAATGATTATATCACAACAGCATTAGAAGCAATTTTAATTTTACAGCTTGTGTTACGTATTATTTTATATCCAAAGAATAAAAATTAAGATGAAGGCACACCGCCAAAAAATTCACAAGTATTTTTAATGAGCAGGAAGTAAGCTAATTCCAGATGGCTGTTTAGAAAAAAATTATCCAGTTTTTTGAATCTGTGCTAAGCACTAGCCCCTGTCAATTCAGAAAATGTAAGCTCTTGGTTACGGCCAAAATTTCGACACAGAATAGCACTTCTGTGAAAGGTAGAAGGTACTGCAGTCTCTGGAATGCTGTGGTACTTTAGCTTTAATTGATATACAAAGACTAAAAGAATCTTGCAGGATGCTTGCCTAAAAACCTAACTAATAGTAAGCAAAACTTCTCACTGGTCCTGTTCATTTGATGTCAAAATTATGTAATTCTGACAAATTATTCTGTGGCATGAAGTTATATGGCATCACATCCTTAGCAACACTTTAAAAAAATCAGCTTAATGGGGCCCTGATGTCATCTTCCAGGCAGATATATTGACTAGACACCCAAACAAATAGTTTTCTGTACTTCAGTGTGTGCCCCCCAATCCTGCAGCTGAAAAACTGAGAAAGCTAAATACTATTCAGTGTAATTCTAAACTTAACGAAGGACAGAACAGAACAGACCTGCTGTGTCTACTAAGTTTTTCTATATGGTGTAAACATATTTATCTCTCTGGGGCACAGAATGTTATATACCATAACACAGATCCAGTTTTTCAACAGGAAGAGTGCCATTTGAAGTGTCCACATATGCCAATTGATAAGCAAAAAAACCCACTGCTAAAACAAAACAAAACTAAACAGAACAACGTACTCCGTTTTTTCCATGACTCTAAATTTAGGCAGTCAAACATGGGAACCTGATCCACTCTTCAGGCAACTACATTAAACTGGGTTAAAATAATTACTGTGTATGTATTCTGCCTCCTAACGCGTCACATCTTCTAAAGGGTAGATATTAAAAATAGGTCTCTCTCCAAAAGACTTGAAATTTACCCAGTTAAACCATCAAGAACAAAGATTTATACATATTCATTTTTTGAACTGTTATTATTAATAACCATTTATTATTACCTCTTTAGAGGTTGTAAACTGTCTGAAGGAAACATGTTTTCCCTTTTCCTCTCTTGCACAGACCATCTTCAAGCAAATAATTTGGTTCCCTTTCATCCTGCTTTTAAAAAGCAAGGCTAACAAACAGAACTTGGGTTCGTTATCTAAACACAGTGTCATTACTTGAAGTGAGTTAAAGCATTCAGGGGACTCTCGCAATAAAAAGGAAATATTCTACCATGAAATTACACTATTAGAGAAGCACGGCCAATTTCATACCAAGATTTTATCTTTGGAAAATAACACTCCTAGAAGCACTGCAATATCCAATCCAGTATTCAGATCAGTATCATTGAGAAGCCTTTGCACTTGAAACCTGCAAACCCTGTGCATGGGAAGCCTTCAGAATACAGAAAGTGTAAGATTACTCTGTCCAGAAATGCAGTAGGTTAACTTAGTTTATAAATTAAAAAGAAGTTTACAAAGCTACTGAGACTAGAAGCAAAGGCATTTACATTTAGTTATCCTTCAAAAACATTAACTTTCCAAAACCCAAAACATAACATATCCATAAGAAATTTTACTTAGATGACAGATTTCTTCACTAATAGAGAAAGACTGCAACTTCATATCCCTTTTAACCTGAATGCAGGTATAGCAAATCAAAACAGCTCCCTCAGATCTCACAGTGCCTGTAAAACAAGGTGAAAATGAAAAGCCCATCTGCAACAAACTGGAAACAAAGTGAAAAATGTGAGTACTCCATTTCAAGAGACTCATTTGACAGGTCTGTCTCAGTTTACAGGGCAGTGTCTATGGAAGAATGCTCCAAGCAGACAGCAAATTCTTCTCTTTTCTGTATTTCTAGAGTCCCTTAAACCATTTAAATGGAAATATTCATATATATGAAAAAAAAAAAAAAAGAAATTCCTTTAGAATAGAAGTTATTTTAAGAGAGATTTGCAAAAATCCTCAACTTTGGTACATTCCATATAATAAAAAGTTGGTATCTATCAACTTGAATATAACTCTTTCATCAGTTCTGGATGATCCAAGGAGTACAGTCTTCATACATTTTCAGCTCTCCTTTGACATATCATCTTCACATACATTTTCTTGGGAACATCACATCCACTGCAGACTGATATGGGAGCAAATAAGAAGCTTGGAAGGCTATGCCCCATTCTTTTCCAGAAATAGAACTTTTTCAGGAAGTTTAATATTCTTATTTTATATCATTTAGGATATAAAATAATACAACAAACTTAAGTTGTTCAACAAAATGGAAAATGGGACTTGCCTTACCCATAACCAAAGGCCAGTCTCCAGCAGCCCTGAAAGATGGGTGTGACACCACCAGCAGAGTATGCTGGGGTGTCACAGCAGCATGGAATAAAAAAATCTGCAGCACTTCAGTACTTGGAAAAAAGGTCAACGAGATCTAGAGTACACTACCAATTTCTGGGATGGTCTTAGTCTCTTCACTTAGGACATCTGGAATGTTATCTGATTTTGAATAAGTTTTAAACTTGTTTTCTAGGTTTTTCTCTTTAGTGTGTTTGTATTTGTTATAGTCCAGTACAAATACAAAGACCATTTCAGATTTTGGGTAGAAGTTTTTATGTTTCTTTATGAGCAAGATCTTACAACATTTTCTTCAAAAGAAAGAATATCAGCTTTGCACTCAGCAACTTTCAAGCAAACCTCTTGAATATTCTGAACATTACAGATAAGAGACATAAATGAGCACCAGACACAGAGACTTTACAACTTCAATTCCATAATGGACGAAATTCCATAATTTTTTACTCTATTCCAATCCATAAGTCCATTTTCTCTGTTTGTGAGTTCAGCTGCGTTTTGCTGATGACAAGACGTTGAAATATGATAATGGCATAGAGTCCAAGTAAAACAAACCAAACTTAATTCTCTCTTAACCCACATGACCTTTTCAAAGCAACACGAAATACTGCTTCAAAAGCAATGTACATTTTTCTCCTTTCAGAATGATTGTATGTTTTTTCTCTTTTTTCTGGCAATATCAGCATTTTTAAATAGGGACTTAGGATAGATATACACTCTGCATAAATTTACTTTGGAGAAAGTAAAAAGAAATTTGAATACACCTGAAGTAGTTACCTTGCTTCTTCCCAGTATTCACTAATGACTTCTAAAAGAACCTAAGTGGTTCTGTCCTCCTTTCCTAGATTTCTAAGAAAACTAATGTGTTTTTAATGCATAGAAATCATATACCCTTTTAGAATGATATTTTGTTACTTACCATAAATCAGTTTGCTCACTTGATAACATAGATCTAGATGAACTCTTTTCACTGTCAACAGCTGAACAAAAGAAAAGTGTAGTAACTAGATACCAAAATAAATTACATTGCAGTACTAGCTATTTGTTCACTTTGTAGAGAAAACAGATTCTTACCCAGTTTTCCTTTTTCAGAGGCAAAAAGTAGTAGTAATGGCAGAAATCAAGTATCAGCGTATAGGAACTAAGGATCTGAGTGTAGAAACACAGCTGTAAAACCAGCCAATGATTGTCTTCACCAACACAATTATTAATCCTGCAGAGAAACAAAGTGCATATATAAAGACAGAAAGATAAAGACTTTAACACTGCAGTTACGATAGTGTGAATAAGAGCGGTTATGATTATTTATGGAGCAAACATAAGAACTACTGACTAATCACTCCATTCTTAATCGAAGTGATGGTCTCTATGTTAGAGACAGCAGTTACTGTAGAGAGTAGTTTCCTTACGTTGCCACTTAAAAGTGTAGGTTGCATTACTGAGATCACTGCTTAGAACAGGAGACATATTTCTCCATACCTTCATATAGCAAAGATACTCCAACAATTTTAAGTAATACTCAAGTAACAAAATTATTTTTAAAAAATATGTAAAATTTCACAGTAATATGTATTAACTTCTGCTACTCAACATATTTCAGTGGTGGTGAACTACTTGGAGTCCAAAAACTGCAAATGAATGGTTTGAAATAAATGCAGTCACAGGGTACCCCAATGACAAATAAGCATGACTTAGGAATGGGCCTAAGACACAGAAGACAGAACAGGCATCTCTGTTCAGAAGCTCCTTCTGCCTACTCCAACATAAAGGAGTAAAGGAATCACAAGGATTCTAGAAATCTTAAGTACAGGATTCAAAACCTTTGAAATCGCAAATGAATGGTTTGAAATAAATGCAGTCACAGGGTACCCCAATGACAAATAAGCATGACTTAGGAATGGGCCTAAGACACAGAAGACAGAACAGGCATCTCTGTTCAGAAGCTCCTTCTGCCTACTCCAACATAAAGGAGTAAAGGAATCACAAGGATTCTAGAAATCTTAAGTACAGGATTCAAAACCTTTGAAATCTATGTCTAGTCTGCTTCACAGAAGTTACATGGATGCAAAAAATGTGGCTGGGGTGCAATTTCATGCAAGCGTTGGCACAGACATCAGTACCAAGCTAAGCCATAATGACAAAACCACCATACTGGCACTATTTTCTGAAGTAGTGATTGACAAAAAGGGTAGTTTGAAAAATGGCTAAATCAACATAGGAGGATCCTGATGTCAATTCTGTCCTCCGCAGTTCATCATTGCTGTCTTGCTGGAAATTATACCTCAGAACTACTGACAGAAATGTTTGTGTTCATTTTAAGCTACAAACAATCAGTTTAAATAGAGAATTTTAGCCAGACTAGTACATTTTGACTGAAACTAGTTAGAGAACACGAAAATAGGCAATTTCACTACAAAATCAGAGAAGCTATGACAAGTGGGGCATGATATGAGTCAATAACATTTTCTACTCAGCACAGCC